ATTTAAAAAATTACACTTGAATTCAAAACAACTCGCAGAAAATTACAAATCAAAAAATAAAATTTTGAAAATAATGTCGCTTACGTTATTTTGGCGGTTAGGGCTCGATATGTTTGCCAATTAAAAACAAAATTATATCTGCATTACTAATATAGCTCTTTTCTAATGCTTCAATAGAACGTATCAAGGCGAATTCATATAAGGTGGTATCGATTCAACAAATACAACAATTACTTGTATTTTGTTTTTGCTTTTAGCTGGTCATTGTCAAATTTCAGCTATTCTTCTACGAATGAAAAAGGGCGACAGAAAATGCAAACACTCTCACGTTTTCACTCACTCACTAGCAAAATATAAAATTTTGACAATCAAACGCTACTCACAGCTGATTAAACAACACCACCTTATATAAATTCGCCTTGGAACGTATGTGTAGTTTAAAAATGTGTAGGACTGACTTGAGGACCAGATTGACAACTGATATAGTTGTAGCAATATTATAAACAAAGCAAGGCATAAAAAATAACGTTGATATTTTGTTTGAGCCGCAAGAACAAATGTACCAATCTAATTGGATAATGTAATTAATTTTTATACTAAGTACCTGTAAATATCTGTAATAAGAAAATTTTGAGTAATTTGTTCGTATTTTGAGGATTATTCCTTTGTTTTTGAGGAATGTGATAATTTGTGGCAACACTGATATGAAGTAAAGGTAAGGTGGGCAGGCTAGTATAACATCAACGCCAAACTCATGAGAAAAAAAGGAGTTATTGAAAAAGGGGGCGTGGCACCTCCCATATAAACTGCATTTCTCACACTAGAATGTGTATATAGAAAAAACACCCTGTCTCAGAATTTGTTTGAAGAACGCCCTATTTTATCTGAAAATGTATTGTAAATGAACTGAGATGGGGCATTTTTCAATCGGCAGCTGAGATGGCGATGTGTACCTATGTCTAGTTTCACCAATAAATTGTAAATTTATCAGGCTGTTAAAATTTAAAATAACACAATTTTGTAAGGAAATTTCGTTATTTTATATTTAAACAACCTGATAAATTTTAAAATTGATTGGTGAAACCGAGCACTAGATATTTAAAGAAATAACACACAAGCTAATTGTAGAAAAACTCGAGCAAAGTTCAAACTGTCAGCGTATATGAAATAAACTCTAATGGCCCCGTCAGTTGAGTAGATTGTGTGTGTGTTGCATAAAGAGCGTCAGATTGGCAACCCTTGCGTCGACGGACCCAACGGACGTTGGCAAACACTAAACTTTTGACGCACGTAAGTCCGTCACTGCTGACAGTTGTATAGCCCCGCGTTTACACAAGACAGACCAATGAGAATATGCACAAAATTTACACATTGCTTGAGTAAAGTAGGCATCCAGACAATAAACTGTCTTCGAAAAGCCAGAGACAGTGATGAAGACATCAAGAAAAGTGGGTATATATTAATAAAAAAAGTTCGTGTTTTGCTATTGTATCTGAAAGATTGACTTGTGTAAACCCCAAGTACGTGGCCATAAGGAACAGTTGATTTTTGTTTCCGACGCAACACCTTCATTGTGGCGTGTCTCTACGGTACGTACTTTCTTCGCATACTTTTCCTTTATTAACGTACCAGTACCCATTCTGACGGGCCCATAAAACTTACTTGTGGAACGCGTATGTGTAACTCGAAGTGACTTCGAGTAGCTTGTGGAACAAACGTAATTATTGGAAGGGGAGAAAAAAATTTAAATTTCGTAGGCCTGTGAAATAAACAGTGTTGCCAGAACTTTTTGGGCCGACCGGCTAGATTGGGAAAAAAAAACGGCTAAAATGTTTAGTGAAATTTCACATAGACAATTAGGGGATTCACAAGACGTGTTAACCGTCGTAAAATCTTAAGGTTAACATCTTTTTTAATTAAAATGGTTTTAGGGGATTTCTAACTAAACCGAAATTCTTTTAAACTGATAAAGAATATATAATTAGCCAACCCCCCAACCATTTTAACCGCTATTTTACATAAACAAGTGTTAAGCTTAAGATTTTACGACGGTTAACACGTCTTGTGAAACCCCTATCTGGCAAAAAACGGCTAAAATGTTTTAGTGAAAATTCACATGCTTTATTTAAATAAATCGCAAGAAACGAAAGACTAGTTAACACCATTAATTTATATCGAGTGTATATTCCTCATCATCAAATGAAACACTATTGTATATATCACCTGAATTCATTAATTTTAAGAGATCGTCATCTACAGTAAAATTATGGCAGCATTTTTCTTCACGTTTTAAACCGTATCTTATATATCTTTGCTTAGTTTTTATTATATTCATTGAACTAAATATTCGCTCTACTTCTGCATTACTTATAGGCAAAACAAGAAAACTAAAAACTAGGTTGGAAAGGTCGGCAAAAGGGTTTTCTCCTAGGGCGTTTCGAAATTGATAAACTTCGGCCCAAAATTTTACAGGTGAGTCTAA